AAAGCTTTTGCATTAAATATAACCTTTAAATGCAAATAAATTATGTAAAACAATGCACAGACCCAGCTAGCTACAGTGGTAGGCGATTATATCAATAAAACGAAGACAACCTTCGATTTAAATCTTTATTTATATAAAGCTGTTAAACACCATGAATGCAAATAAACATCAAAGTTAAAAGTCAAAAGAAGATGTCAATTAAAAAAGCTTCTCTTTAATAGCGTGTGAACTTTTAATTCAAACAAAGCTTGTTGACAATCAAAACTTAAATATATATAAAGCTAGTATTTATTTTATTCATATAATTAGAATACGAAGTCTCATGCTTTGTTTTAACCCTGAATATTATGTCTGTCATGTTTATAAAGAGTTTCATTTTTTTCAAATTAAAAACGAATCTATTGGATATTCAGATTAAAAAATTTTTGTTTTGGAAAAATTCAATTTTAACATTTCCGTAAATTTCTAATTTTCATATTTTTTTCTCATCTATCATTTATCCGCGAGCCTTGTAACTATTAATAATGTTACTTAGATCTTTATTAAGATTTTTATTTATTCTTTTCCCATTAGAGTTGCATGTCAGTCAATTATTTTCTTATCACTAGACTTTCCGAATTGTAGATGGGATGGGTATAATTTTTAGCCCAAAAAATTTGTTTTATCTTTGGTGAACTATCGTCTAAATAAAGGAGCATGCTCAATTCATAACAGTATTGTTCTTTAACATTTATCTGATTAATAATATCAATACTCGTCGTTTTTCTTGCTTCTTAAGTGATTAATTCTACTGATTTCCAACACTGTTTCTGAAGCAGGTCATTTTTTTAAGTAGCAGCTGAGCTGGGAACTTTTGAACTCCAAAGTTTAGCTCAAAGTCCCTTTAAATATTTTTTTTCTATTTTTTCTTTACGTGAAACTTTTCTCTTGTGTCTTCAAGTTTGGTTCGCTAAGGTTGAAGTTGATTGCTAAACCATATCCAGGAACTCTAAGTTTGGTTCCCTAAGGTTGAAGTTGATTCCTAAACCATATCCAGGAACTCTAAGTTTTGAATATTCGTGTTGATCTTCCATCTAAAAAATAAAAAAGGTTTTCAAAGTGATTTGTAGCTTTTTAGGAAAATAATATTAACGAAAAATTAAAAATCAATGAAGAAGGAATTTAGAAAAATAATAAGTAAGAAAGTTGAAATGAAAGCTAAGATGTCATTATTTGATTAAAAATAATTTGAAAAGGTTAGTTTATTGATCAGAGACCGAATCCAAAGAATTTGAGCTGCGTTCCTCAGCTGTAGGTTTAAACTTTCGATTCAAAGTTAAAGATTAACCCTAAACAGGCTGAGGTTGGGGGGTTGGTGTTTGGCACCTCCCCCCTGTAGTTTTTTTTGTCCTAGCACTCTCATTTTTGTCACTTTTACCGTGAAATTTTGTGACTTTTAATGAATAGTAATTTAAAGGATTTTTTGTTAAACAAATATTTTTTTTTAAATTTATAGGGTAGGGTACAGGGCGGAAAAAAGTCCGGTCTGTGAAAAAAATCTAAAATAGCTCATAACTTTTTTGACTAGAACTACAGATCTAAAAATTATATGTTTTGAAAAGCTCTTGAAAAATACATGTAGAAACATGTGTCATATTTGTTTAAAACAAAAAAAAATTTTAAATATTTTTTAGCCATTTTTTCAACCCTCCCTAGCACCCAAACTATTAAAGTTATCGGTCTAAGTTTTTTTCTTTGAGCTGGCCATGCAAAATTGGGCTATGAACATGCATTTCAACCCTCTAAGGCCTTTTTTCTAGAGGGGGGAGGGTGCGCCAAACGCCCTCCAGGCTATACATAGATTCAGACCCCCCAGCCTTTATAGGGTTAAGGATGGAGTTGAATCGGTGGTTCAAATTTGAACCGGCGGTAAGCAGTTAAGCCAGGTCTATTTTTCTTGACATTAATGTGCTATAAATATTGTTTTGTGACCCAAGATATTAACCAAAACTATTTATGTCAGGTCAGAGAATATTCTTTTGACCCAAGATATTAACCAACACTATTTATGTCAGGTCAGAGAATATTCTTGTGACCCAAGATATTAACCAAAACTATTTATGTCAGGTCAGAGAATATTCTTGTGACCCAAGATATTAACCAACACTATTTATGTCAGGTCAGAGAATATTCTTGTGACCCAAGATATTAACCAAAACTATTTATGTCAGGTCAGAGAATATTCTTGTGACCCAAGATATTAACCAAAACTATTTATGTCAGGTCAGAGAATATTCTTTGCATCATGCAAGAAAAATAAACTTATTTATCTAGCATTTTTAAAATTAGTTCATCATCTCAAATTCTCTTGGGCCTCCTTAAAAGCCATTAAAAACCTAGAATGTTGACTTAACGCCAAAAATTACAATTTTTGTAATTTTCCATAATTGTATTTACAAACTAGAGGGCTCCCTACAAAGCCTTCAGTGATGACTGCACAGAATTAGTTATTTCTTTATTTTCACCTCATTTCTTATTTTATCAATCATTTAATAACCCTATCAATGTTTTATCTATGTTCATTAACAAACAATTATATCTTTAAATGTACTGAGCTTTTGTCACAAACTCTGATTTTTTAATCCCTATATATCAACGCCGTTAAGATCGTAGACCTTAGATATTTCAAATAATCAAAGTTTAAGATATCATAGGTCTACGACATCGGGTTGCAGAGATATAGAAGGTAGAAAATCGGAGTGTTTAACTAAAACTCAGTTTCGTTTTAAAGTTTTTAGGTCGTCAGTAAAGTTTCATGTTTTCTGGATCCCCCCTGTACCTCCAGTACAGCACTGATGACCAGTAGCACATGTTGAAGATAAAGAAGAGTATTGGGAAGAGAATAAAGAATGATATATCCAGCTTCGTAAACCTCTGATTGCTTTTGATCTTTGAACCCTTTCCTAAAGTGTAGATGTTGTTACTTTAACCCTATTCCCGCTGGGGGGGGGGTCAATTTGACCCCCCCCTGTAGTTTTTTTTACATAACTCAAAAAGTATTGGTCTGAGGCTGTTGAAATTTTCTGACTTTTCTTACATACCCAAAGCCCTCCCTTTAGGCCTAAAACTGGGCTTTAATACTAACTGCCTGAGTCCTCAGGCACAACCCAGCGTATCCTGGTTTTCAAGTACCCCAGCGGGGATAGGGTTAAAGGATTAAAGGAATTGTAGACGTAATTTTATATTTAAAAAGGAGTATGTTCGATTTACAACGATACATTTAAAGCCTTGTCTGACCATGATTAAATGAGAAATACAAGATATCACTTTTTAAAAATTATTAATGTAAGCAAAGAAAATTATCAAAATCAACATTTTCAATCCAGAATTGTTGATATATACATGTTGAAAGGTACCGTTGTGAATAGGACCAGGTCACTGATAATTACGGCGATTAAATGCAAAGAGAATAGAATGTATATTAGAGTGGAATTTAGTAGAAAAAAGTGTAAAACGACCATTTTGTTGTACTGTTTCCATACTGCAGGTGTACTTCACATATTTGCGCTATATAACCTTTTGGGCCCTGGAATATCATTTTATAGAAAATCTAATATTAATATTAAAAGAAACCCAAATTATAAAATAGGCTAGTTTCATAATTGATCAATGATCATTTCACTTTACAAACGTTGATTTTCCGTTATAACTATAAATCAACTGATGTTTGTTATTCACCTAATTCATTTTAAAGTTTATTTATCAGCTTTAAACAATTCGAAATTGAAATGGATAGTCTATGGAACATACTGTTTTAATGTACTCTACTGCATATAATTTGTGAACATTTAACATGATATGTACACTTTGAACTCCCTTTCAGGCTGAAAGGGACTGACAAAATTCATTCCGAGGGATTATCTAAATTCCACTCTAATATATATTCTATTCTCTTTGATTAAATGTTAAAGACAAAACAAAAACTACAGCTAAGATTTTTATTTTTATGAATCTGCTAATTTCCAGTTTTTTAAACCTTAAACCGGACCCTTCCTATAGTATAATAGGTGTACAATTTCACTCAATGGAAAAGGCAAATATTATCTATATATTGTAAACATTTCTCTATATTAAATAATCTGTCAATGTTTAAAGTGTTACAGAGTTAAAGGATGATATTTAATGTTAAAATGTCAGATTTTTCCCTTTGAATTTAGATTTGCTCTGCACATTAAACTTCAAAGCTAAGTGCTATTTATATTTGTAAGCAGGTAAAACATTAAGACGGATATATGTTGTTATAAATTACAAAATTTAATGAAAAAATATATTTTTAAATGTAAAAACTAAATAATTATCTTGATTTGAAAATATATTTTTAAATGTAGAAACAAATAATTATCCTGATTTAAAAATATATTTTTGAATGTAAAAACTAAATAATTATATTGATTTGAAAATATATTTCTAAATGTAAAAACTAAATAATTATCCTGATTTAAAAATATATTTTTGAATGTAAAAACTAAATAATTATCTTGATTAGAAAATATATTTTTAAATGTGAAAACTAAATAATTATATTGATTTGAAAATATATTTTTGAATACAAAAACTAAATAATTATCCTGATTAGAAAATATATTTTTAAATGTAAAAACTAAATAATTATATTGATTAGAAAATATATTTTTAAATGTAAAAACTAAATAATTATCTTGATTAGAAAATATATTTTTAAATGTAAAAACTAAATAATTATCCTGATTAGAAAATATATTTTTAAATGTAAAAACTAAATAATTATCCTGATTTGAAAATATATTTTTAAATGTAAAAACAAATAATTATCCTGATTAGAAAATATATTTTTAAATGTAAAAACTAAATAATTATCTTGATTAGAAAATATACTTTTAAATGTAAAAACTAAATAATTATCTTGATTAGAAAATATATTTTTTCTAAAGTTGGAAAATAATAAAATATTTAACAGTAATTATCCATATTCACCATAATTACCATTTAACCTGACCTTAATGGGGATAAAGAGAGGGGGGGGGGGTAGGAGGGAGAATTAATAATTTTAAGTCTCAAGAGAATGATTTCAAGTCTTGTTTGAAATATGTATCAGACAGAGTTTTTAAATAAATGTAATATTCTGGGCAATTCCACAATTTCTATAGAAAACTAAAATATTTTATTATTTTTTAATACAAATATTTGACAGTGGGACTGGGAAGTACACAATTTTGATTTATGGCAGCTATTCAAAATTGTCAGGCTTTAAAGGGAGTGACCAGCAATATGGAATAGCTATTATGATTTATTATTTCATACACTCCCTTTAAGGAATCTTGGTTTGACCTTACATAAGGGTAATTGAATAGTCCTGAAAAAAAAGATTTTGTAACTGCAAAAAGTTTGTATTTAGCTTCAGTTTAAAGGAATAATTGCCAAAGTTCGAGTAGCAGAAATAGAAATTTAATTTTTTTTGCATTTCGTTAACGATTCGTTGTACATTTCAGTAAATCATTATTTTCTTCGGGTGTTATAGTTTATACTAAGGAATTGAGTATTTGAAACAAAATCAAATATTTAAACCACAGTATCTTTAGAACCCGATGTTGTAAACCTTTGATATTTAAAACTCAGATTATTTGATCTAACAGAATTCATAGTTTGAAATATCTAAGGTCTGCAACATTTGGTTCCAAAGATATAGTGATTAGAAAATCCGAGTTTATGGCAAAGACTCAATTCCTTTGAATTGAAATAGAATATCTAATCCGTCCATTGTAAAGTTGTCAACTTTGCTATTAGCTCACTGCAACTTAGACAAGAATAGAAGGTAAAACCTTTAACTTTGATTTTACGAATAAATGTAAAAGAAGCAAATTTATTTGGTTTCAAGGGCGGTTTCATGATTTAAAATAAGGGGGGTTAAACTCGATTCCCCCCCCACCTGTAATCTCATAAAAATGAATTCCCCCCCTCACCCCTCTATTGCTAAACAGTTTTTTTACCACCCCAACCCCTCACAAATTACAGTTTCTTTATAGTATAGGGTAGGCAAATGTCTTAATAATCCATTTATTTATCTAAAAACGATTTTTAGCAAAATAGTATTGATTGAACTTTATACATAAACATTGTACACCTCTTTTCGTATTATTCTAACGAAGGGAGAATCATATTTTATATTCTGCTATTATTCTTTAAAACATGCTAATTTTTCTTGCAGGAGGTTTCAAGTAGTTTTTAAGTTTATTTTCAGAGTTAAAAATAACCAAAAGAAGGCTGAAAGTAATAAAGGATTTTTTGTTCAAAATAAAAAAAATAATAAAAATATCCTCCTTTATTCCAATCTACAGTAATTTAGTTTTCTTGGGCCGCTTGAATTAAAGGTATTTAAAACACTGATGTCCGAAATTGAGGCAAGCCTCTTTAGGTGCATCACCATTCTTCCCAGGTTGACTAACTTATCGGTGGTAATAGATAACCTGTTCACAAAGTTTTAGTCGACGATGCAAATTTGATAAGTTTTGACTAATGTGCATGTTTAATGGAGGCGGATATATATGTTTCTTTTTACAATGTTGGCACTTTCAAGTAAACTTTATTATTTATATACATATATAAATACAAATTATAGTTTAAATGAGAAAAGACTTTTAAAAAATCCAGGGGGGCACCCCCCCAAATTTCACTCAGGGGGGGGGGGGGGGTAATTTACTGCCAACCTCCCAACCCCTTGAAACCGCCCTTGTTAGGTTTTACATATTAGAAATTCAAAAGATTTGTGTTCTTCTCAGTAGCTATTTCATTAAGAAAATTAGAAGACTTGAATCTTTCGTGCATGTTACTTTAGTTTGCAGTGGGCCGAGACAAAAGTAAAATTGTACCTTTTAGACTCCCGTAGGAGCTTCTGATTTTCTCCAGTTTAAGAAGAAGAAGTATAACGGAGTACTCTAACAAAGCTCCGAACACAAATGCTATACAAGCGATTATCCAGGTCTTTATCGCAGTAAACCCTTCAGCCTAGGCATTTAATCAATTATCTAACTGATTAGTTGGTCGCATCTTTATTACTTAAAGGGACTGTAAGCTTAATTTCAAGTGACCTTCGTGCAAAGATTTACAACGGTAACCTCAAAAGCTTTGTCTGATCAAGTATGAGAGATATCCATGTTTTTGTTTCTTTTAACTTTATTTTCATTTGCGGGTTCTCTGCAAAATCAGGCATTTTCATCTTTGTATGTCCAGTCATTTACAATTCCATCAAATTAGTTACAAGTGACCCTCCATAATAAAGTGGTATGTTCAATTCACAATGGTACTTTTTAAACCTTTATTTGAGTAACAATAAAAAAGTTACAGACGGTTTACTGTATTGCTCACGTGCTTGGTCTACAGACGGTTTACTGTATTGCTCACGTGTTTGGTCGACTCCACTTGGAAGTCCAGACTGGACGTAGCACGTGAACTCATGTTTAATTTGTATCGGCTCAGATCTTGCAACTTTTAGTGTGGGTTGTGCTAAATTCTGATAAATTCCTTTAATGTTTCTGCTAACAAAATCCACAAGTCACTTTTACAGAAGATCTAATTAAAAATTTTATTTTTTTTCAGCTGGAAAAATGTTAATTTCTCAATCATCCTTAATCAGACAAATATTAAAAGTGAACAGTTGGGATTGGGACTTCCCACTTTATAAATGAAAGATCACAGTCTTTCAAGTAACTTCTTCAATATTTAATTTATATTTTTCAAAGACGCTTAATCTGAATCGAGTGACGTCTATAGGTCTGAATATAAATGATGCTTCTGTATAATGTTTATATATTTAAATTTAATCTGTTGCATGCTGAAGGAGTATAGAAGATATATAACTGATGAATATTTCAGATTCTAATTCTTTGTATAAACCTCTCCCCAGGGAGCCCTTCATCTTCTCGTTTGTGAAACATTGAAACCAGGAGAATATTTAAAAATAAGTTTAATTTACATTTTTTTTATTTTAAAGATTGTTCATTAATTTGAAATTTATTGCAAAGAATTAAATTATAAACTAAGCGTTACATAATTTCTAAAAAATATTTTTGTTGATTAAAAGAACTTCAAGTGACCCTTCAGTAAAAGAGTGAAAAGTTTGACTTTCAAAAATTGTTCGATAATTTCAAATATTTTGCAATCGATTAATATGACACACGAAGCATATCTGATGATTTATCTGAAAGTTTCGATTCACAATGGTACTCCTTAAATCTCTTTCTGAGTAAAAGATTTCTTAAAAAGTAATTCATTTTCAAATATTTATATCCCTATATCTTGGTAACCCAATGTTGTAGACCTTAGATATTTCAAGCTATTAATTCTGTTAGATTAAATAATCTAAGTTTGAAATTTCAAAGGTTTACACCAACAGGTTGCGGAGATATAGAAATGAGAAAATTTGAGTTTGGGGCAAAAAATCAATTTCTTTCTTCATTATTTTGCCAAATCCGCAAATGACCTTAACAGAGAATGCACAGATAAAAATAATCAATTTTTGATTGAAAAAATAAGGATGTTTCATGATTGTTGATTAGACAGAGGTTTAGAGGGTGTGATTCGGACACTCTATAATTGGTAAAAAAAGAGAATAGAACAAACATAAAAAACACTAAGAAAGAAAACAAATTATAAAATGAAGTATTTGAATAAAGACCAAAATGCTTGAAATATGAATTTTGTATTTCATTTTTAGTATGAGCATAATGTTTAGTCTTTCATAATCTGAAGCAAAGATTTACAATTACCTTTGGGGAATTAGTTTGTATTGTGTTGTGGATATTTATCAAAACTAAGAACAGGGTGACTAGCATAGTCATTCTTCCAGGGACTACTTCAGGGTTCACCAGGAAACTAGAATAGTAGTCATTATATTCACGATATATAGTCATTCTTGCAGGGACTACTTCAGGGTTCATCAGGAAACAAGAACAGTAGTCATTATATTCACTATATGTAGTCATTCTTCCAGGGCCGGGACTACTTCAGGGTTCACCAGGAAACTAGAATAGTAGTCATTATATTCACGATATATAGTCATTCTCCCAGGGCCGGGACTACTTCAGGGTTTACCATGAAACTAGAATAGTAGTCATTTTATTCGGTATATGTAGTCATTCTTCCAGGGACTACTTCAGGGTTTACCAGGAAACTAGAATAGTAGTCCTTTATTTAGTTAGTAGTAGTCATTCTTCCAGGGACTACTTCAGTATTCTCCAGGAAACTAGAATAGTAGTCATTTATTTAGTTAGTAGTAGTCATTCTTCCAGGGACTACTTCAGGGTTTACCAGGAAACTAGAAAAGTAGTCATTTATTTAGTTAGTAGTAGTCATTCTTCCAGGGACTACTTCAGGGTTTACCAGGAAACTAGAATAGTAGTCAAATATTTTTGATTGTTGGTAAGTTTCAAATCTAATGTCACATATAAAAAAATGACATCTGAAATACAAAGGAACAATATTTTAGGAAAACCCCGAGCGTTAAAATAACATTTTAAAGTTATTCTTAAGAATTGATTAAGGTAAGCAAAATAGGAAACAGACAAAGAACTGAATCTATTTGTTGTATTGCATGTATATTCACAGTTTTGTTTGGACGCCCAGGCGGGGGGGGGGGGTAATGGTTGGTCTAGGAAAGGTCTGAGGAAGGTCTTCATGATTGATTAATTGTTTGAGGTACTCTAGGTCATTACAAGGCTGTACAGAGGAACCATTTCTTATCTGTCTTAAAGCTTTAGTACCTCACAAGTACATTTATCAATACACCATTAGAGAATATTAGTTTGTTAATTTAAAAGAACTAGCATTTTTAGGAGCTTTGTGCTCCTTATCTTAAAACAATAAAAACCTTGAGCTGATGCTCTTCACATCCCATTTTCTCACCGTTCTCTAATTTTAGATTTGAAACACTGCTATATTTTTAGAATTGTAATTTTGATAAATTCTAGATTTAAAACATTGATAAAGAAATTGAATCTTTGTCCCAAAATCTGTTTTTCTAATCCCTATATATTTGCAATCGGATAGTGTAAACCTTTGATATTTCAAACTTAGATTATTTGATCTAAAATAATTAAAAGTGTGAAATATCTAAGGTTACGACTTTGGGTTGTAAAGATATAGTGATTAGAAACTATTTTGAACCAATAGAAATAGTATGGCGATAACATCTATCTTTCTTTCTATCTCATGATCCAATAAGAGTTATGAATCCTTCAATTGGCGCTATCCGTAAATGGAAATATTACTGCTACTGAAACTGTGTTGAACTCTGAGTTTGTGGAAAATGATCCTAAAATTACTTTAAAAATGAATACTGAATTGTGCAAAAATTGTACGACGTTCAAATATTCTCTAGAAACATTGTGATAAATGTGACTTAAACATTTTTAAACAAAAATATTTTTTAAATCATTGAAATTTGAATTTCAGATTATCGATTAACTTTGCTCTAAAGGAATATTTAATTTACAAGAACTTTAAATTAACCAAATTTATAAACTTTGAAATAAAATTATTAAAGTAAAACCTTAACCTGTTCTTTTTATTTTTTGTTGTTGGTTGAACTAATACAGCATTTTATGTAGAGCGTAACTAATCTTTGATACTTTTTGACAAAGAAATTGAGTCTTTGCCACAAACACAGATTTACTAATCCTAATATCTTTAAAACTTGATGGTGTAAACCTGTGATAGTTCAAACTTAATTTATATGATCCAACATGATTCATATGGTGTAAACCTGTGATAGTTCAAACTTAATTTATATGATCCAACATGATTCATAGTTTGAAATATCTAAGGTCTGCGACATTGGGTTAAAAAGATATAACGATTAGAAAATCCGAGTTTGTTGCAAAGACTCAATTTCTTTCTCATAAAATAATAAAAAAGTTTTAAAAAATTTTTTAGAATCATTTAGAAAATCTTTGCCGAAATTTCACAATAACTATAACTGTATATATGTCGGTACCATCCAAATTAATCAATAAATTATAGTAAGCGCTAGGTTTGTTTACTTGTATGTTCCATCATAACTCATGAACCCCCTGGACCGATTTGCCTCACACTTTAATATGGGACCTCGATAAAACAACGGAACTGTTACTAGCAAACATTGTTTTCCAGACTTAAAGCTGGGTTTCCAAGCTAAGTACAAATTTTAATACAAGTAACTGTATGGTAAATATTTGTGTGGCAATTTAATGTCCGCTACAGTGCTACCAAGCAAAAAATTGATGGATTACAGTTTTTATAATAATGCATAATTAACAAGTTTAGTCAATAACCCATAGCGTTTACTTCTCTTTATTATATCTAAAAAGATAACGTTTTAAGCCGAAAAACTTATTGTTATATGAAACGCGAAGAATAAAAGGTCTTAGAGCGTATGAACTATAAACGCTTTTATCTATATTTATACTTTTCTTGAGTGTCTGTCTGTTTGTTGTTGAAACCGATAAACGTCAAAACGATTGAATTGATCGAACCCAATTTTTTGTGGGACCTCACTTTTGACCCCAGGGAATGTTTATATGGGACTTTAAAATTGTAAAATAAAAACCCGGGCCAGGAATACGCTGGGTTGTCTAAAACGACCAAGAATTACTGGAAAATAGTCGAATTTTCTTTTAGAAGCGCCAATTCGAAAATAAAAATCCGCCAAAGTTTGAAAATCATATGAAATTGCCGACTTTCAGAGCAAGGGTTTAAAACTAAAATTATTTACAGCCTAGTTATATAAAAGGATGCAAAACTTTATTTTATGAAAGAGATGGAAATAAACTCTCTAAGCGGATTGAACTCTCTGCTATGTTTAAATGAAGGAGCGTATTCAAGTCTATGAAACATAAAATCTAAACATATACAACTCTGGTGGTTAGAAGGTAGCTAAAAATTTCTCATTGCAAAAAATAATACATTTTTAAAAAACATGTTTATAAAATAAAACATGCAACTTTCGTCCAAGAATACCGAGCTTGTGTTGGTGAATCATTAGTTTAGCGGTGAATACTCAAGGACATTTCGTGAATATTATTATTAGTAATGATTGGCTGAAGGGAATTAAGTAGGGAGGGGAGGGGGGGGGGGTTCAAGGGCACAACAAAATACTCCAAATAATTAACAAACAACTACACAATAAAGAAAGGCGTCTGTCTTTTCATGATTTATAAACCAGGCCGGACTTCTTCCATTCTACGTACATCGCAATCTAGGCCAATTGCGCTTCAAGATCTTTGGATTTTTTGACAAAGCGCCGAAATGTTGTACACCGGTGCCATATGCCAGAGTAAAAGATATAATCAAACATAAAGGGAAATATTCCCACAACCTCTATTTTTAGAGGTTTTTAAATATTTTCTCCTGAAACACTTTATTATGTATGTTTTTGTTATCTTTCAAAATTTTTTTTTTTTTACTTTACTTTACTTTTACTATGTCCGATTTTTCCCCCCCACTATTTTCTAGGAGTAGGGGGGGGGATGTCACCCCCTCCATAATCAAACCCTGATTAAAAACTTCTACCTGATCCAGCTAACTACTACAAATAGTCCTGAAGGAAGATAGTAGGTAATAATGTAGAAACTCATCTTTCTGGTCAGCACTACCTCGAACCCTGTAGCACTGTAGTTCATACCTAGACAAACACAAACTACATAGTTGTCCAAATTTATGGGAGTGTTCCCAAAAATAAAAGATGTTAATTGATAATTATTAAATATTACTGTATCTTGTAATTAAGTCGGTATGAATATTACAGAATTCTGTATCAAGTAGAATATAAAACTACTTTCAACTACATAAAACTACTTTCATGAATGCTCAAAAAAGAATACTTAAATGGCGACTTTATAATTTAAAGTTTTATGTGTCCCACTGTACAGTTTTATGCGTCCCACTGTACAGTTTCTTAAAAACTGAATGGATGGAAAAATAAAAGTAAGAGAAAATGTTTTTAATCCTGCAGTATTCAGGTAATCTATTAACTAAAACAAAACTTCTGCATAAAAATGATACTCATCAATAAATATTATGATTCTCGTTCTAAAACTTTGATATAAAATCTATATAGTAAAGCTCTTCTCTCATATATATATATTTATATGTACTATGGCTGGCCAAACGGCTGAACCTTATTGGCTGACATTTTTTGAGGGAAACCTTGAGTACNGTGGATTTTTAAAAATCTATTTAATTTTTTTTTTCTTCATAATAATATTCTTATTTTCACGGGCTATGCAAGGAACTTCTACTAGTAAGTAATATAAACCTTTCTTCAATGAAAACTGGATGACGTCTTATCCATGTTTTTTAAACGAACAAGGAAAATTTTCAAAACGGCATTCTTCGTTCGTTAAAAATTAGTTTTTAAAGGTGTAACCAACTTGTAATCTTGTAATCGTTAAGTTAAAAAATAGACTAAAACAAGTGAATACGATTATTTTGCTAAAATTGATTGCATATTCAATTGATTTTAATGATAAAGAGATGAGAAAATCAGAGTTTGCGGCAAAGACTCATATATCCAACCTTACTAACCTACAGCCATATATCCAACCTAACTAACCTAGAGCCATATATCCAACCTTACTAACCTAGAGCCATATATCCAACCTAACTGACCTAGAGCCGTATATCCAACCTAACTGACCTAGAGCCATATATCCAACCCAACNTTATGTTACCCTCTGTTCCAACCCTTACGCTGAGTATCCTCCCTTTTCTTTATACTCCCTCACCTCCTCCTTACCTTTTACCTGATTTATTATCATTCTTATGTTTAAAATGTACAATGTACATTGTTTTTATCTGCAATTCTCATTCGTTTATAGTGGGCCAACCAATTAAAACAACCTACTCTGGTTAGGCGGGTCCAAACTACATAGTAAATTGTGATTTTTTATTTGTATTATCTCGTGCTTTGTAGTTGAATAAAAATATGAATGAAATATGAACTGACCTAGAGCCATATATTCGACCTTACTGACCTAGAGCCATATATCCAACCTTACTGACCGAGGGCCATATATTCAAACTTACTGATCTAGAGCCATATATTCACCCTTACTGACCTAGAGCCATATATCCAACCTAACTGACTTAGAGTCATATATCCAACCTAACTGACCTAGAGCCATATATTCAACCTAACTGACCTAGAGCCATATAGCTAGATTTTGATCTAGGAAGAGGGTTAAAATCTACTCCGTAATCCAGCACTGATTTGATATCATCAGCTTCTGGAATACCCTAGAGAAACAATATTTTAGGACATGCATTATTCATCTTTACGTAGGAATACAAGCGTAATTTCAAGAAACCCATCTGATTAATGATGAGAAAGATATTATCGTTTTTCTGGGTTTAACGGTGCTAATTCTTAAATGTGTTTCTGCAGTAGAAATGCGCAAGTCATTTTGTAAAGAGAACCCGCATTTAAAAATAATCAGTTTTCAAAATTATAAACATTGATCCAATTAATACTTGATCAGAACCGTTTTGAAGCCAGCATTGCCATCTTTGCATCAATGGTTACTGGAAATTACACTTACTGTTCCTGTAACGATGGCATCTATACTTTTTGTTCAAGAAACGACAAAACCACTGAATTGATCCGACCTTGAGTGGGACATCATCTATGCTTCCACCGAAAAGGTAAATCGTTAAGTAAAAATTTCGCACTTCTTGCATTTCGTTCGCTTGAGAAAAATGGAAAAATGTTCCCCTTTTTGCAAAATTTTGCTTTAATTTATTTTGCAAAAAATTGAAAATTTCGTAAAAAATGAAATGCGAAAATTTTCGAGGAACAAAAAATTGCGAAAAAAATACGAAAATGCTGAGCTTTCAGAGCAGAGAATTCCACAAGTATTTTTGGCGCAATTACTAAGTTTAAAAAAAAATTATTTTACCTCGTTTAAGAATGTTATCTTCTGTGTAGGATAGTTGAAGCTTCCAACACGAAAGTGACAAACCTTGAAAAATATAAAATCTGTATTTGAAGTGTTCATATCTATATACATATTACATATATTTATCTATACATATATGATATATATATATGCAAATATATATATTATCAAATAGATCAGAAACATTCAAAATATAAATTCAAATATCAAGATATTGGTGAAATATTTTACATTTTTGTTAAATATTGGAAGAGATGAATAGAAACTTTCTGGTACTTTTCAACTTAATTATTTGATATTTATTGAGATAGCAGTAATTTCAATCATTTAAAACTGCCAACATATTTATGAATCTTAATTCCCCAGTCATAAAATATGCATTAATCGAATTGGTATGATTAAAATTTTCGCTTGAATCGGACTGAAGAAAACTGCGTTGGATTGTTTAAATAAAATGTAAAATTGCAAATATATTTGATTAAAAAATTAAAAAAACGTAAACATTTATTTTATTTTGGTGTAATTCACATATATAATGATATTTTTCATTAAGCAAAATTGTTTCCTTTCATGACCATGTTGCACTGTTATTGGAAACCAAATAAGCATAGAGTTTTCAAAAAGGCACTCTTGTATGCCGAGTCCATTAGCGCCTGATCCAATCAGGGCCGGTTAAGTCATGTGTTTGGTGTCTATTCTGAATTCTTGCATGGCATGGCGGTAACATCTAATCATCCAATTAGAGATAAATCCTTATTGCGGCCGCGCTATAGACTAAATGGAAATATTTTCTTCTACGGAAACTATAGTGCAGGGGTTAGTTCCAACTTAAAATTGCATCTGTAAGCGGACAAAATTACATTTTGCATTTTTCTTCTTTTTTTCATTTATGTATTCTTTTATATTAGTGTATATACTTTAAAAGCTAATTTCAAACGGAATGTAAAGTGTAGTTTACAGTGGTGCTTAGCTAAGCTTAAAGGTAAATGAAAAAAGGATTTGTCTGAACAAGTATTTTGAAGAGAAAAACATTTATTTTAGATTTAAAGAATTATAATTCGATATTTTACAATGACTTAATATTTTAACTGATTAGGTTATTTTTGTACAAGGGGAGGGGGGGGGGGGAATCTTCTGACTTCGTTTAAAAAAAATTTGTCATACATATTTTGCATGCAGGCCTGAATTGGGATTTAGATTTTTCATTTAATTTTTCTCGCATTTTCTAGGCATTTTTTTTAAAAACTTTGTTGTGGTCTCCGTGATGTGTCATTAATCATCAACTTTGGATCGAGTAGAACACCCCCCCCCACCATTTGTATGGAAATCTTGAAACTCCACTTCTTGATACTTTAAACAAAATATAAAGTAGATAGACCATTCCACTATTTTTAAATACAATGCCTTAATAAACATGAACATTTATTTTGATTATATCAGTTGTTCTAAAATAAAAAATCAAATGAAATTTAGCGTAGTTTAATCTATTTTGCTATTTTGCTTCAACTCCATCAACATAAGTCAAGTTTTTAATCAAATAAAAAAAAAATTACGAAGAAAACCCGCGAAAAAATTGACACATAACTTCTGCTTTGTTTGGGTGAGTTAGTTTCGTTGCATGAAACCTCATGACCACAGATTCCGGAAAGGTTCATAGAAGGTCGAAATTAAAAAAAATTCGATGTGTCAAAATTCACGAGAAAAAAATCGATAAATCCGTGAATTTTTTGTTATTGTTGGATAATTTAAAAAAGGAAAATGCAGTAGATAAAACAAATTTAAAAAGAATCATATATGCGCTATGTGAAACCAATCGTATCTAATATTAATACAATACACACAAGAACTCGTAAGTTTTCAACACCTTTTTAAAAAGTTGCATTTTTAAAAAGTGCATTATCTGTTACCATGAAAAGATTAAGCTCAAAGTGCCTTTTTTATGGCCGCCTCCCACCCCGTGAAAAATACCTGAATATCAACTGGGAAGGCATTGAAGTTCATCTGACAGATGAACGTTATTTTACTTGCCATGCCATACAGTATACCTCCAGATCTATCTATCCATACACCTAAATATATGTCCAGTGTGCAGTATACCTCCAGATCTATCTGTCCATACACCCTAATGTATGTACAGTTTACAGTATACCTCCAGATCTATCTATCCATACACCTAAATATATGTAAACCCTTCCTTATGTTTATTGGCAACCTCACGTGACAATCCTTCTTTCTTGACCTTACACTGACCTAGAATAGTATAATCACGCGAGGTCTTTTAAGGAACTGTATGCGTATTTTTAAGAGACAATGGCTGATTCACAGCGGTACCCTTTAAACCTTTGTCTGACTAAGATGACAATATCTTCCACAATATTTATCAGATAAAGGTTTAAAGGGCAACGTTCTTAATCTGGCACTGGCATCTTTACATGGAAAATCATTTACAATAACGCTTACAATCCCTTTAAGAGGGGGCAGGGCAAACAACGTCCGCAATGATACAAACCCGGAAAAGTTGTTTAGTGTTTAAGTTGGCTCAGGAAGAGACAAGACAAATCCGGACAGTCGTCTCTGAAGTTTCATCCTTTGTGACTAGTTCTGCATTTGCTTTGATACATCTTACTTTGATTATTTTATCTATTGTCTATTTTCCATGAGGAAAGAAGAGAAACTTTTCTAAAAGTTTGCTCGTAGAAAACTAATTATAAACTATATAAGAATAAGTATTCAATTAGAGATGGTCACATTCGGCTTTTTTCATCTAGTTCACTCATCGTTCATCAACGACCCATTTCGTTCGGTTTTTTCTCAATAATTTAAAAAAATTTATTTAGTTTTTCTTAAAATTATTGATAAATGTTCATTTATTTCATTCGTTTTCTCACTGGACAATATTTCAGTAAAGTTGTTCATTCAGTATAGAATTGTTTGTTCAATAAGATTGTTCTTTTAGGTAAGTTTTTTTTGTTCGTTTTAAAAAACGATATTTTTTTATTTCTCTGTACGATCCAAGTTCATCGTTTTTTTTCTTCTCTGAACGACACCATCGTTCACAAAAAAATTTCGTTCGTTCTCAAAACCGACAGTGGACATCTCTATCTATCTCAGAATAAGTATACAATCACCTTCTAATCTGGAGAGAACCTTGTGGGTTTCAAAAGACATGAGATCCAATATTTCTATATCCGGGATCCACAGGTGGGGAAGAACATTGAGGTTGACCGCAGTTAGTCCACCATCAGCCCCCTCCTCGTCTTCATACTGAAATTCGTTAAATGTAGTAGACTTTTACAGACACAAGATGAAATGCTGTACACTTCTAAAAACACAAAATAAGATGTAGTTTACTTTTAAAGACACAAAATTATATGTAGTAGACTTTTAAAGACACAAAATGAAATGTAGTAGACTTTTAAAGACACAAAATGATATGTAGTAGACTTTTAAAGACACAAAATGAAATGTAGTAGACTTTTAAAGACACAAAATGATATGTAGTAGACTTTTAAAGTTTCAAAATGAAATTTTGTAGACTTTTAAAGGCACAAAATGAAAAGTAGTAGACTTTTAAAGGCACAAAATAAAATGAAGTAGACTTTAAAGGAAAAGAAATGAAATGTAGTAGACTTTAAATGAAAAGAAATGAAATGTAGTAGACTTTTAAAGTCAGAAAATGAAATGCTGTAGACTTCTAAAGACACAAAATAAGATGTTGTTTACTTTTAAAGACACAAAATGATATGTAGTAGACTGCTAAATACACAAAATGTAATTTATTAGACTTTTAAAGACGCGAAATGAAATGTAGTAGACTTTTATAGACACAAAATGAAATGTAGTTGACTTTTAAAGACCAAAATTAAATGTAGTAGACTTTTAAAGACACAAAATGAAATGTAGTAGACTTTTAAAGACACAAAATGAAATGTAGTTGACTTTTAACCCTATCCCTGCTGGGGTACTTGCAAACCAGGATATGCTGGGGGGGGACCCCCCCAGCAGGAATAGGGTTAAAGACCAAAATTAAATGTAGTAGACTTTTAAAGACACAAAATGAAATGTAGTAGACTTTTAAAGGTACAAAATGAAATGTATAGTCGACTTTTAAAGTCACAAAATTAAATGTATAGTAGACTTTTAAAAACACTTTTAAATAAAATGATAAGATATTTTTAAAATGAAAAATGAAAATGTCACCTCATACATAGTTCTGACAATAGGTTGGGATTCATTTATCTGTGTGAGAAGACGTTCGTCTGTCCATCTCACGTTGAAGTATGTGTCGATGGTTATAGAGAAGTCCAGATCAGAAATCTAAATTAGAATTTTTAAAGGGAGTCATCAACGTAATTTAAGTTGACTCTTTCTTAAAAGAGCAACTTGCCGATTTACAACAGAACTCTTAAACTCCTTGTCAGAGTTTTTAGGAGAAAAATATCATTTTCTAAATTGAAAAGAGATAAATTCTGAAGATATATCCTTCTAAACATAAATTCACAACGGAAATTGATGCTTAAAGGGACTGTAAGATTAATTTAATATGACCCTCCATATAAAGATGGCATTCCCCCATTCACAATGGTACCCTCAAAACCTTTATCTGATCAATCAAGTGTTTCATTCTGATAATTCTTACCTTGCCATAAACTTTTAGTTGTCTAGAAATGAAAGGGTCAAGTTGTCTAGAAATGAAATGGTCAAGTTGTCTAGACATAAACAAAAATAATTTTTGTTTTAAATGAATATTGGATGCAAAAAAGCACAAAATATTTTAAATATGATCGGAATGTATTGAAAAATTAAGCATTTCTAATATTTTCAAAAATATATGATAAGCATGTTTTCATTGCACTAAGAGAACTTATTTTAAAACAAAAACTATGATGATTTGATCAATACTAATTTATTTTTATTTGAAATCATTAGAATTTGTGTGTAAGAAATATTTTTTGTTTTGAGGTCTTTTAAAGTTTTCGTTGTTTATAACGAGTTCTGTTCCTCTGCACGCACCTCTGAGCCTTCCGTAAAAGTAAATTCAACCTAAAGTCTGACCGCGTCAACCTTGTTGCACTGGCTAGTCCTATTGAGTGTCTGCTTCATCTACCCAATGACAGGGCGATACAGTACAAACTGGGACCGAAAAAGTTGACCTGGCTCAGAAATTCAAATGTACTTAGACTTAATTGAGGGACTTTCACATAGGACTACCCCTTCTACTTTTGTTGCTTAAACAGCGATGGATCAAATACATACTGGGTACACTAGACAGGCTGATACGAGTGAACACTAGACCAATAAACCCTTGCACCAGTTCAAATAATGCAACGATTAGTTTCATGTGCTTGGGGTGCAATTTATAACAACGCGCTTATGATAGAGCTTTCCGTTTTCAAAACTATAGAATATTAAAGCTGTTGTAAGCAAACATGATAAAAATATGTTCTATGAGGTGAAAAAAATTCCGAAAATTAATAAATGTATTTTCAGTAAATTTAATAAATGTATTTGCAGTAAATACTCTTCGAATTGGAAAAAATTTATCTCAACGCCTTGGTCCTTAACTATATTTTACAGTTTTACTTCTATTGTTTCTAGTTTCTGTTTTGAACTTTTTATGTTAAAAAATTGAATTTTGAAAATGTACCAATCAGTTTATCCGATTAAAGTTTATAAGTTTATAATGTAATAGAGGAAATATTAATCTTTTATCATTAATCAACCATACTTATTTGGTACTTCATGGAACACTTTAAAAATTTGATTGATTAGAAACTTTCAATAAATTTGAAAATAAAAATTTTAACACGCTTTTATCAACTAACTTAAGAGTTTAGACTACTCATCCTGATATTTAAATATTTAATGAAAAAGCTTAATTTTTAAAACTTCAAAATACTTGAAGAATCAAATTTAAAAGTTTAAGTCAATATAAAACTAGAAATATAAACAATGGCAAAGTTTCAAAAGTTTAGAGATTTTCTCTGAAAAAAATATACGCAAATTAACATTTTTAGAATTTAAGGTAATCACTTTAAAACGGCTTTTCGCTCGTACATATATATTTATATATTATAGCTATATTTAGCCAAACGGCTGACCAAGTTGGCTGAATTTTTTGAGGGACCTATGGGCAATGGGTACCCTGAGAGTAAAATGGGCTTTAAAACTTCGATTTAAAATTAAAATCACATTTTGTTTAAAATTATTTTTTTGATTTTACGTGTAACGCAGGGCACTTTAACGGGTTACTTATAATACCTATATATACTATTATAAATATCATGCTCCAGTTTTCAATTTACACTCAAGAGTAAGAAAAGCAAACTTGCATATAAAATAAAATTTTTCATCAACATTTTAAAAAATAACATTTTTATAAAATATTTTCATCCGAAATTTATATTTATCTTCCGCCAATAATCAGTTACGTAATATGAGGATTTTGAGTGTTTATCGCTATAAAGACGACATTTTCCATACATCGGAGCGCATCCAGATTTTCTAACCTTTCTAATCTAATGGTTTGATGTGATATGAGTTATAATCTGATTTAAGAAAAGTTTGGACCCCTGATTAATTAAAAGTGTAAGAATTTATATCTGGTATATATAATATATATCATAAACGGATAGAAAAACTCGTTTGGTTGCATCCCTACTTTCTAATCATGACGTCAGAGTTAATCCCCGTCTATATATTTGTATTATACCCTCTACGAGTCTACAGTCTTAATTCTCTAATCCTTGAAATTAACTTCTTGCATATCTCATGGTGCAGCAAATTATTTAAAAAAGTTTTCTTTTCAAAAACTATGATGGTTAAGACAAAGCGAATGAATCTTTGTCACAAACCCTGAATTATGTTAGGAAGGTTTGGGTTGGATTGTTAGGAAGATTTCCTAAAATAAGAAAGGTTTAGCTGATTGTTTGGAAGATTTCCTTTAATTAGAAAGGTTTAGGATTGTCAGGAAGACTTCCAAAAATTAGAAAGGTTTAGGATTGTAAGGATAATTTCCTAAAGTTTAAAAGGCTTAGGATTGTTCGGAAGATTTCCTAAAATTAGAAAGGTTTAGGATTGTAAGGATGGTTTTCTAAAGTTTAAAAGGCTTAGGATTGTTAGGAAGATTTCCTAAAATTAGAAAGGTCTAGGATAGTTAGGAAGATTTCCTAAAATTAGAAAGGTTTAGGATTGTTAGGAAGATTTCCTAAAATTAGAAAAGGCCTAGGATTGTTGAAAAAAATATCCTAACATTAGGAAGGTTCAGGAAAAGTAGAAAACTCTATGATTATTTATTATTTTATAAAACATGATGAGTGAAAAAATATATGAGTCTTTAAAATCAAATTTTAATTCTAAAAGTAATGCAAAAATATAATTTATAAGATTTGCATAAAAACGATGTGTTTAAAGCTGACGACGTCGTTTTTTTACTCTTCTTGTCTGTACAGTAAATATATATTCTCAAGGTCTAGTTTAAGCTTGAGACGGATATAGATGTAAAGATGAATCTGCATTGTTTATAGGTTATCTATATTCTCTGTGTTTTCTCACCAAATGTATAGGGTGTCCAGATAAAAGGATGATTATGGTATTTGGAGCCTTTTTATGGACTCTTACGCACTAAATGTTAGTTGTAGGTAATACCTAATAATTTTTGACTAGGGAAAAAGAGGAATACAAAATTTTAATCTTAGGTATTCTCAATTTTTGTATGAAGTCAATGATAAAATATTTTGGACGCTATTTATATAATTCCTTTTCTGCTGCTAGCACAGGAGAGTTTAATAGAAATACTGCAGTAAATACAGGGGAGAAATGTTCTAAACCATGTATTTGTCAGGTTTGGACACAATGATGTGTAACAAAGGAACTCAAATTTTCTAATCCCGTTATCATTGCAACTTGATGGTGTAAGATTTTCATTTTCCATCCTTAGATTATCTGAGCCAACCGAATTCATAGTTTGAAATATCTAAGGTAAAAGAAATTGGGTTGCAAAGATATAGGGATTAGAAAATCAGAGTTTGTGGCAAAGACTCAATTTCTTTGTTGCAAGAGAAAATATTAATAAAGTAAACATTAATAAAAATTTTATCAAAAATTGTCGAAAAGAATAATTTTCATTTTTTACATTTTATCAATTAAATATTCTGAGAGTTCATTTAAAAACCTTTTCCTTTTACGTACATCTCTCAAAATTTGGACGCATTAGGAACATAATCCATATTTTGTAAAAATCTAAAATGTAGAAATAATTAGCCATTAAAACATACATAAACAACTTTCTTTAATCACAATAAAAGTATGAACCTGAGAAAATATGTTATAAAGAGATATTTGAATCACTGAAAAACTCCAGTTCATTAAAGTACAGCCAAGACTTTTAGGCATTTCAAGCAAGTTGTACACGTTATACTCGTACTTAAGGTATACAGAAGGTATAATGGGACATTTATTCACAAAATAATTTATCCCCTTTAGAAAGATTAATATATAAAGAGCCATAACATCACTTTAAGATCCCGTTTCCTCTTTGTATTTTCAAAAAGAAATCATGAAAATTATTGATTTTAAATTAATAACTTATCACATTTCATGTATTAGCTAAATGTAAGAACAAACTTATAATATCGTATTTTTCAATTCAATTTCAGCCAGTTTTGAGCCAAATCATGGATTTGAACTTTCCTCCCCTAAGACACACGCTCGCGGATATAGAACAGACATATATATTGATAAGGAGGTTAAAAAAAATATATGTCTATCGTTCATGGATAAAAAATACGTATGACTATTAGAACACTCCCACACTCCCCCCCCCCCCTTCAATTTGTCTAAAACTTATATAAGGCATAAAATCTAATCAACATTATAAACTCCTGGCTTTCCTATAATCCTTTGTAAAAATTTACAAATTATGAGTGTGCAAGAAAAGATCATAAATTTGGCCAAATTGACGGGTCTTAATTAAATTATCAACGTTTAAAGCCATCAATCATTTGCAAATATTTTATAAATAATGAAAGAAAAGAAATATTGAATAAATAATATAAAACAGACGGTACACTTTAGTTAATTTCGTAAAGAATGCTTTTAGGACCCCTTCCTGGACCCCTCCCCTCCTATTAATGTGCATCGAGCTCAGCCCCCTATAACATGGCTCGGCCCGTAAATTGTCTTATCCTAGACCAAGGGAATCAGGGAAGGATAGTTCATTGCGGTTGCGAATTCTCACTGTGTAGATTGAAACCAGTTCTCTCTGGGCGGTATTTGTAAACAAGAATATATGTATAAGTGTTTCTTTAGTATCCAAGGAGGATAAAAGCATTTAATTTTGATAATTTTTATAATTCCTGTGACCAGAATATATCATTGATTTTTTTATATGCAAGATGGATCTCATGTCAGGCTGTGACATCCGTCTTTTGTTTACTTTATAGAGACAGTACACTGCAGTACAAAAAATGCGTACACCTCTGAAATTACTAGCATTACATTATTACATATTCTTTGACCACTTTTAACCCTGAAATAATACAAAAGAAATATTATTAAAAAGAAGGAAACCAAGGGTAAAATGAAATATAAAGATGTTAAAGAAACTGTAAACATAATTTCAATTGACTCTTCATGGATGAAGGGGATGTCCGAATCACAAAGGTACCCTTTCAATTTAACTTTTTCTGATCTGAAGTATGTATTAGATGTTTTTAGTTTTGAACATTTTTCATTTTATTTGTCACTGTAGTTTTAAACTTTAGTTAGAAACAAGCTGTTTGCAATTTTAGAATTTATATGTCTTGGGCTACAAAAAAACTTTTTTGGTGCGGTGAAACCAAAGGCCAACGCGTTATGACGCTTCATAGTCGAGGCTGTCTACAAATTTGATGTTTAACTTTCAGAGTTGGTCTAGATATCAGTGAATTGTGGTTTCGCTGCAAACTGAAATTTCACATTTCTTGAATGTGAAACAATGGAGAAATTATCAGAATTCAGGTCTTTTCAAGGTATTTTTGATCAGATTAAGGTTTTCAGGGTATTGTTGTGCATCGAGTATGCCCAGGGGGGATGATAGTTCTCTACCTGTGTGTTCAATTAGCTGTACTGTACACTTACAACTGATTATACTAATATTTATATACTAAAGGTTAGGCCAGAAACAACTTATAATAAACAAATATGCAGTACGCTCTCGGTATAGTTTATGGCCTATGCACTTATTAGTAAAGGATTAGCGTACATCATCACTATATACACTATAACCACGTTGAGTATGTCTCTCTATATTTGGAGGGTCAATTCAAATTACGACGTCAGTCCCTTCCATGGAAAAAATAAGATAGGAACAATACAAGGAAGAGTTGTAATATATTAAACAAATACAGTGAAATGTTACTAATGATTTATTCATGAAATGTGACTAAAAATACTATTACTAAATCTGATCACTTTAGATACATATACAACATCCTAGCTTTTAAAGAAAGTAAAAGTCAGTACAAACATGATATTAATTTCACAGTTTTCAAGTTTTACTGTATGTATAGGAGCGAATACAAACAATTACAGATAAAAGAAAGGAGACAAGACACATAAGAAAATATTTAAGAAGACACAGTATGTATAGGAGGGAATACAAACAATTACAGATAAAAGAAAGGAGACAAGAAACATAAGAAAATATATAAGAAGACACAGTATGTATAGGAGGGAATACAAACAATTACAGATAAAAGAAAGGAGGCAAGAAACATAAGAAAATATATAAGAAGTTTGGAAGAATAGGACTCAGCTGAAGTATGTAATTTGCATAGAAATATCACGCTCGGGACACAGAATATATGTTTATGATGATTAAACGAAACTAAGGAAACTTCAAATGAATCCCAACAAAATTAGCAGATTTTCTTCAGTTTGTATTTGTGAATATTCACAAATTTTAATTCTGGGGAAAGGTAAGGTCCCACACAAAGTTTGACCCGATAATTTAGAGCAATTAAAGTTTATTGGAGAGAAACAAACCAAGAACAATTCATACCTTTATCTGATAAGGAACAGCAACAATATAAATTCTTTTAAATCTTATTTTGTGGAATATAAAAATCAAAAAATCAAAAAAAAAGTGGATCAGAAAAAAAATCTGGCCCATTTAGCTAGTCAATAGTTTATTAAATATAAGAATTGAAACGGTGATGCATGATGAAACTACGGGAAGAGTCCCTTTAATTAGATATTTCTTACCTTGGGTATATCTTTAAGATTAACTCCTATGGTAACGAATGTAGTCTGGTAAGGTGAAGGGAGATCATATTTCTGATAGTCTTTTGGTATACACAACCCTCGCACACCCTGCAAATATTTAAACATTTTATTTCATATTTTTCAACATATTGATTTATTTACATTGCACTAAAATTTCAAATAATTGGCCTAAGAATTTGCAATCTGCAGAATAAAGATACAGGCTGTTGTAAAAAGTTGCATACATTTCCAAGATTGGGTTCACTTAAAAGTGTCGCGACGTCTCTCCCTTTGATCTTACTCAGCTAACTATTAATGTTATCAAAATTTAAATTAAAAGTAAGTTCTCAATAAACAGTCGAGTCTTTCGATCTTAAGTTAATATCTTATTCTTCCAGGAACTAAATAATTCTTAGCAAAACTTATATTTGTATAAAAGTTACAAAACAAGACTTTTGCATTAAAATAATATTAACATCACACACAACAGAGGTCTATTTATTTCTACACTTTTTTACATTTTCTGTGGAATGAACAAATTTATTACTAGCCTAAAATTTTAATTCAAAAGTTAAAATATCAAAATTTTACAGGAGGCGAAGATGAAGGGATTAGAAAATTAGAGCTTGAGGCATGAAATCAGTTCCTTTTTGTCAAAAAAAAAAGATTTTATCTTAAGAAAATATTCCTGGGATTGAACATTAGTTCTAGAAACTATGTGAGAGTTTTCAAATAAAAACTGATTTAAAATGAATGGATTGGAATGAATTAAATGGATCAATGATTTTACAATTCATTGAAAGTTTGAATAGAAATGCATCAAAAATACTCTTAAGTCAAGTATGTTCAGAGAGGATGACAAACTGCGGAGTAACTTTAGAGATAATGATGAATTACGGAGTAGGTTCAGAGAAAATGATGAATTACGGAGTAGGTTCAGAGAAAATGATGAATTACAGAGAAGTTTCAGAGATAATGACAAATTACGGAATAGGTCCAGAGAGAATAATGAATTACGTAGTAGGTACAGAGAGAATAATGAATTACGGAGTAGGTCCAGAGAGAATAATGAATAACAGGGTAGGTACAAAAATAGTTTTAAATAACGGATTAGGTTCAGAGCTAATGATAAATTACGGCGTAGTTTCTGAGATAATGATTAATTACGGAGTAGTTTCAGAGATAATGATGCATTACAGAGTAGGTTTAGAGATAATGATGAATTACGGAGTAGGTCCGGAGATAATGATGAATTACGGAGGAGGTTCATAGAAAATGATGAATTACGAAGTAGGTCCAGATATAATGATGAGTTATTGAGTAGGTACAGAGAGAATAATGAATTACGGAGTAGGTTCATAGAGAATGATGAATAACGGAGTAGGTACAGAAATACTTTTAAATAACGGAGTAGGTTCAGACCTAATGATGAATTACGGAGTAGGTTCAGATGAAATGATGAATTACAGAGAAGTTTCAGAGATAATGATGAATTAAGGAGTAAGATTAAAGAGAATAATGAATTACGGAGTAGGTTCAGAGATAATGATGAATCACGGAGTAGGTTCAGATGAAATGATGAATTACAGAGAAGTTTCAGAGATAATGATGAATTACGGAGTAAGATTAGAGAATAATGAATTACGGAGTAGGTTCAGAGATAATGATGAATTACGGAGTAAGTTCAAAGAGAATAATGAATTACGGAGTAGGTTTAGAGAGGATGATGAATTACGGAGTAGGTTCAGAGAGGATGATGACATACAGAGTAGGTTCACAGAACTGCAGGCCCGTAGCTAGGCATTTCTAAAGGGGGGGGGGAGGCACAAAAGTTCTAAATAGTATAGATAGATAAAAAAAGTGGCTTGAAGAAGGAGAAAATTTTTTTATTAAGTATAGATATTTGGCATGTTTTCGTTCCCTTAATAGCTATTTAAAAATTGAGAAGTTATTTGCATCTGGAGGTATAAGGTGTAGAGATTTGAGTTAAAATATAAAATAAATGTACAACTGAAAACTTTTGTATCACGAATAGCCAATACTTATTCCTAATACAAGGAAAGTAAATGATGTGAATTTCCTGCAAAAGATCAAAAAAAGTTCAAGCAGGAAAATCTTCAGTTTTCTAACATCTAAAATTCATAGAAAAAACTTCCATGCAAGGTTGAGGGTTAGTACAAACAGCTTCTCCTGAACCTGGCCATATTTTGTATATAATTTCAATTTGTCTCCATGTTAATGTATGCTGTAGAATCATGAATCTAGTAAAAGGAGAGAAAAGGATAAGATTTTCAAAATACAAAAATAATAATGTAAACCCATATCATTTCGCAAAATAGGATAGAAATAAAAATTTCCATATAATTTATTTCAGAAAGCACTCAATTTTTCTTTAATTTAAAAAAAATAAACCTTTACACATAATATTGGTAACAAAAATTAGATTTTAGACCAATTTTTTCCCCTCTTTTTCATTTTTTCATTTTCTACTTTTTTGTCTCAGAAAGTGTGTGGCCCCCCTCTTTCGGGAATAAAAGGAGGGGGGGGGGGCAGATATAATGATGAATTACGTAATAGGGTCAAAGAGGATGATAAAATACGGAGTAGGATCAGAGAGGATTATAAATTACGGAGTAGGTTCAGAAATGATAATTACGGAGACGAAAAGGTTGAATAGAAAACCCTTCCAAAATGTGTTCCTAAATATCAGCTGTTTCCCCAAGTTACATTTTACATTACTTAAAAAAAGAATAATGTAATAATTTATAATTTTAAGTTTTTTATTGTTTGCTTTATTGCAGCAATGTATGAATAAAACAGGAGGAATATTTATGTCTAGGATAACTTTGTATACTTGATAATAGCAGACCTTATATCAAACTTATACTTTTACAAAGTCAAGAAACTTTATTGTAATGCGGGTAATATTTTTTCCTGAATCTTCTAGAAACAATTCACTGACTCAGTATCAATCTAGTTTTAATGTTTTAAAAACAATAGATTTTTGTGTTCAGACTGCAGCATTACTTTAGATATTTACAGGGTGAGTCAAAATAAGTGTGATTAGCGGCGCCTGGTGAACAATTGTATCTTTTTTGTGTAACTCTCCTCTTTGGTGTTTTTTCAAATTTTTTATTTTTTTTTTGGTATTCTAATGACCCAAAAAAAACGCGAACCTTTTTTCTCTCAAAATCAAAAGTTCAGAAGAGCAAAAATGAATATATAAAAAATTCCAATCGAAATCTAAAATTTGTTAAAGATTGAATCACAGAATCACAGAAAATTCGCAAAATTATAATGAAAAAATTTCAATTTTCAGTTCTAGCCTAATTTTTAAGAAAAAGTTGTTTTTCGATGACTCTTCCGGATTCAACTGGACAGCGTATATTTAAAACTTTAGAATGTACTAAGAAGAAAGGAACTAGAGAATTTAAATAACTTTTCTTTCAAAATTAGACCATAACTGAAAAATACGAATTTACTTTTTACAATTTTGCGAATTTTCTGTGATTCTGTGATTCAATCTTTATAATTTTAGATTTGAAAGAAATAATTTCTTAACACATTTATGCTTTTTTGAGCCATTGGAATACCAAAAAAGAATAAAATAATTAAAAAAAATATTGAAAAAACACCATACAGGAGATATATAGCCCCACTGATTACGCACTTTGTCGTAGATAACGATTTTCCCGTTAAAAGTAGATTGCACTCAACTTATAATCTCTAAGCTAAACTAAGAGAATTCCCGTGGCACTCCCGAGGTCCCCAATCAAAATTTGAGGCAAATAGGTCCAGGGGTTCCTGAGTTATGATCGGACAGACACCAGAACAGAGATTATATAGCTTTATTTTATCATCTTTATTTCAATTAATGAAGTGTCATGGAACATGGTAAGTTCCAGATTAATGCATTATTATAAATCAAATAGCTGATAAATATTTGCAAAACATTGATGCACAATTGCATTAATGACATGGCACAGACAGGACTTTAATCGAAAGATGAGTTTACGATACGATGCAGAGTGGAATGCATCTCTGTACCCAGATATCACCCCCCCCCCTCCATCCTCCTTACTTCTGATCTAACTTTAACTTGTTTGGTAAGCTAAGGCTGAGTTGTATGAGGGCCTGAGATAAAACAAACTTGTTCAATTCAGCCAGCAATAGATATCTCCCTACAGGGTTTAACTTTTATGGTCTTAACAAGCTACCCATCTATTTAGAGATAGACGCCTTCGGTTTTTTTCCTTTCGTTCGTTCATCGTTCTTTCGTTCGTTTTTTTCAGTCGTTAAATACACTAAAATTATTGTTTATTTTCCATTAATTTCGTTTCGTTTTCTCAGTTATCGATCGTTTATTAAAATTGTTTGTACGGTAAAATCGTTCAGTCAAAAAAATCGTTTATTTAGTAAAAAAAAAACTAAAGTTTTTTTAAATTTTTTTTTCAATTTCGTTTGAACGATTGTAATTGTTTTTTACAACCCGATATTTTAAAAATCATCCTAGTTGTTTGTTCATAGTTCGTTTGTTTTCTCCTGAACGACACTTTCAGTCACAGAAAATTTCGTTCGTTTTTTAAAAATTTCGTTTGACGTCCTCCACCTCTGGTTTTTTACCCTTGCACTTTCATTTTTACATTATCACTTTGATTTTTTTACTTTAAAGGAATAGTAATTTAAAGATACAGATTTAAAAACATTTTCCCGATATTTTTCTTGACATTTTTTTATTGAGCTGACCTTTGAAAAATGAAGTTGCTTTGCAACCCCCCCCCCCCGAATTTATTCAGACCCCCCCAGCTGTTATAGGGTTAAAACACAGTCTTAACAAAAAAAATAATAATAATATTAAAGATGATTCAAATAAACAAGGATACACTTGTTGATTAATTAACAGACACTTTCTGGATCAATATAAAAATTATGATAATCTTAAGATAAACATAAAGAGGAGATCAAGAATTGGTCTCGATATCCCATCAATTCTAAACTTTTTCGCTCAGAGCTAACTTTCTAATAAATAATTTAACAAAAATGTTTATGTCTCACCTCTTTGCATGTACTGACAGTGAGACTGCTCCATAGCGGTTGAATGAGGGTGCAGTACACCGTAGTGTACAGAAGCAGTACCTGCACACAGTGTACATGATAAATATGTATTTGTGTTAAGATCAATACTGGGTGTTCGGTATTTTTCCAAAGTTATTTTCTAAAGGGCGACTTCCCAAATGACAATTTCCCAAGGTTAGGCTAGGCCTTCTGAGGTGGCGCAGGCTAAATTGGGGACCGACCGATGCGGCTAGGATGGACTAGTTGGCTGAGCGCAGTTGCTAGAACAGGTTAGGGGGTCAAGCACGGCTAGGATAGACTTGGGAAGTTGCCGTTTGGGAAAAAGGCCTTTGGGAAAGTAACTAAGAAAGTACTGAGTTTATATACAGGGTTAGCCAGAATGAATGAGACTTCTACGACGACTTTCCGGAGTTTATATTTCTCTTTTTCATTATATTTCTGGTTCCCTACAGCTATAAACTTGTTTCTCTCTGTGACAAGTCAATCAGTAAAAGATTATATTCATTGTAGACAGAGGTGTATTAAGAGAGGGGCTATTGGGGCTAAGCTCCCCCTTGGACCAGTGAAATCTATTGATTTCAGGGGGTTTTAATGCCCCAAAGGGTGCTAAGCCCCCCCTGGAAAGAAAAAATTTAAGCCCCCCCCCTGGACAAATTCCTGGATACTCCCCTGATTGTAGAAGACTAAATTTTACAGTGGGACCTTTTTACTTCAAGAGTTTCAGGGCGTCCTTGCGCAGTGTAATTGTTATATCTGGCAACTCCATGTCAAAGACCATATTTTATAAATTCTGTAAGATCCAATTGTCTATGTTTGAAATATCAGGCTGCAAAGAAACAGGGATTTCAAGATAGTTTATTTTAAACTGCCATAAATGATAAAAACCGGTGTTTTCATAATGAGAGGACAATGACCTATATCGGTAAAAAGACGTATCTATAATGGATCGATTTGAGTTTGCGGCCTCAACTCTATTATCAATACACATTACACATAAATATTTATATCATAGGAAAACAAATTCATTTTCAACTTTTAAATCCAAATAATGCAATATTCTTGAGATGGAAAAAAATAGGCAAACTTATATAAAACTTATATTGGAAAAAAAGTTTTATTTGAAGATTGTTTTTACAATTTTCAGGTTTATATTGCAATGCATTCACTGTTAAAAAACACAAAACATTTGTTTCGTTTGTAATATTGAACAAACCAAAGGTATTTTGCTTTTCTTCCGATTATTAAACAAAATGTACTTTAAGAAAATGAGTTTTTACCACAAACTCAAATGTTATAATCCCTATATCTTTGCAACTTAATGGTGTCAACCTTTGATATTTCAAACTTAGATTGTTAGATCAAACAGAATTTATAGTTTAAAATATCTAAGGTCTACGTCATTGGGTTATAGAATTTAAAAAATCATAGTTTGTGGTAAAGACTCAATTTCCCTCAAGTTATATTTTGAAACCAATTTTCTCCAATTTGAAATGTAAATACTCGAAAAAATAGAATATGCATTTTTTTTTCTAAACAACATTTCCAGAATTAGATTGTAAATTCCTTTGCAAATTCATAAATCCTAAATCTATTAAATCTCCAAGTTCTCAAATACAGTCAAATCCTGTGCACAGAGCAGATGGGAATCATAATTTTGTTTAAATATCATATCAGGGTTAATCACAAGGAATGCGACTTCAGAGACGACTGCTTGGAATGTTTTCAGTCTTTTATCATTTATTTATTTAATGACACTTCATTCAATATTATTTTTTAAAGTATAGGACTAACATTAGCATTATCATTCTCATTTAGTTTGATTTGAATCCTCAATTTTGTACAACTTTTTAGAATTCTTAACCCTATTCCTGCTGGGGGGGGGGGGGGGTCAATTTGACCCCCCCTGTAGTTTTTTTTACATAACTCAAAAAGTATTGGTCTGAGGCTGTTGAAATTTTCTGACTTTTCTTACATACCCAAAGCCCTCCCTTTAGGCCTAAAACCGGGCTTTAATACTAACTGCCTGAGTCCTCANTAAATTGGACACCCTGCATATATATAGATATATATATATGCAGGGTGTCCAATTTTGGCCCTAGTGTAAAACCTTTTATCTTGTTAAATATTTAATGACTTTTAAAACATTATTGTTTATGCAAGTGTAACATGATAAAATGAAAAAATATAAAAAAATAAAATTTAGATTACCCATGGGCCGTATGGGCAAAAATATGAGAGAAACCTCCTAAAAATCAAAATCATTCTTTTTTTCTTGACACTCTGTATAACAATACATTTATATAATTATATATCTAAATATTTAGAAACACATATTCTCAGTAATCTTTTAATAAAAAATAATTATCATTAGCTTTTACTATCAAAAACGTACAAAACATATAAAAACTAATTCTCAATTGAAAGAATTTTTCATTTTTTAAAAGTTTTTATGGCTCAAATGTTCTATGTAATGTAAAGATATATAAATTTTCAATTCACAACGATACCCTTGATCCTTTATTGTAATTTTTCGAGGTTTAATTCTAATCATTTATATATATATATATATATATTTTCTTCCAGTAGAAATGCGCAATTTTCACTTTCGTAGGGAAACCAAAATTAAAACATTGATATCTTATTTATTTATTGTAATTTATCCAAAGAGAATAGAATATATATTAGAGTGGAATTTAGAAAATTCCCCGGTATGCATTTTTTCAGTCCCTTTCAGCCTGAAAGGGAGTTTAAAGTGTACAAATCATGTAAATGTTCACAAATTATATGCAGTAGAGTACATTAATACAATATGTTCCCTAGACTATCCATTTTAATTTAGAATTTTTTAAAGCTGTTAAATAAACTTTATAAAATAAATTAGGTGAATAAAAAACATCATTTGATTTATAGTTATAACGGAAAATCATCGTTTGCAAAGTGAAAGGCATAGAGTCTATGTGAAATGATCATTGGTCAATTATGAAACCAGCCTATTTCATAATTTGGTTTTCTTTTAATATTAATTTTAGATTTTCTATAAAATGATGTTCCAGAGCCCAAAAGGTTATATAGCACAAATATGTGAAGTACACCTGCAGTATGGAAACAGTACAACAAAATGGCTATTTTACACTTTTTTCTAGTAAATTCCACTCTAATATATATTCTATTCTCTATGAATGTATCAGACAAAGCTGTGAATCCACTGTGAATCGGGACATTGCCTTCTTGGTGTATGGAGTGTCATACTCATCACTTGAAATTACGCTTAAAGTCAGGGATACTCTAAGAAAATATAATTCATTGTTCTTTTCCGTTAATTCCAGTTTGTTCTTTTCCGTTAATTCCCGTTAATTCCCGTTTCTTCTTTTCCGTTAATTCCCGTTTGTTCTTTCCTGTTAATTCCCGCTTGTTCTTTTCCGTTAATTCTCGTTTGTTCTTTTCCGTTAATTCCCGTTTGTTCTTTTCCGTTAATTCCCGTTTGTTCTTATCCGTTAATTCTCGTTTGTTCTTTTCCATTAATTCCCGTTTCTTCTTTTCCAATAATTTAAAAAAAACTTTGCAGAAATTTAACCAGCCCCAAGGTTATAATGCAAGGAAAGTTAATTGCAGTTACGTATACTCTGCGTTCATATTGAAACCAGTTCTCTCTGGGCGGAATTTGTAAAAAAGAATAGATGCATCAGTGATCCTCTAGTGTCTCAGTAGGATAAAAGCATTTAATTTTCTGATTTATAAAGCCAAAATGAATCTGATATTAAGATATATACATCGATTAATAAAGTTAAAAAATCGGTCACAATATGTTTAATTAATATATTAAACAAAAATGGCTTTCATTAAATTTAGTTCCGTTGTCACTGTGTCTTACAAAATGAAGTAGGATAGACGCTATATATCTTGAATATTATATTTCACAGGATCATTTCTGTACTTCAATAAAATTGACGAGTTACCATATTTTCTCGAAAAATTCATTATCATGGAATAAAAGATCTTGAAATGTAAAACTAATGATATAATGTAAAATGGCAAATAACTAGAATAGTCACAATATTTAAAGAGACTGTAAAGAAAAAATGAAAGGGGGTTTAGGCTGAAAGCTAAGCACTATAGCTCTCGATCGAGACCCATGAAAGTTATATCTGATGTTTCTATCTCGAGAAATTGATATACAACTTTGTCAAATTTATACGAAAATTAATATATATACAATTTTGTATAAAAGTAGTAGGTTTAAAAAGATCAAATTTCGCAAATAAGCAACCAATCTGAAAACAATGATATCCCAGAGAAAGCTAATTGTAAGTTAGGTTTACTTTTATATTTGTTATTTTTATTTTTAATAGATTTCATTCATAAAATTATTTATACGTCCGTACGACCAGAAATTCAACCAATGGCAGTGCAGTAAAGCGGTCACGTGATACAGGCGGAGACACTGCTCTGCCATAGGTGATAGTTCTGGTCACGTGATTTAAGTTTAAGATTTTCTAAATTTTACATATATAAACTTTGGTATAATTTAAACACAGTTTTATATCAATTTCTCGAGACAGGAACATCAGATATAACTTTCATGGGTCGCGATCAAGAGCTAAAGTGATTAGCTCTCAGCCTAAACCCCCTTTAAAAGGAAATGTTATGTTAAAAATGTTATTTTAATTAGTCCTAAAAATGTTTCTTTAATTCTTTCCAAAAATGTACAAATTAGAAAAAAACGGATATTAAATTTATTATTTTAATCTTCAATCTTGAAAATTATCACGTCATCTATAATAAAGTTTTAAAATCTTAAAATTATGAAAACCTTAAGATTTGTTCAGAAAACCAAAATTTCGGGTCTAGAAAATTTCAGTTTTTACTTTAAAATATGACAAGCATAACATTTTTTCGGGGGGGGGGGGGGGGTTACAGATACTGAGGATAATTGATATTTTAACCCACGACAATTTGTTTTTAAAATTCAAAGTAATAAATATTAAAGGTGTACGACAGATATAGGGATTAGGAAATTAGAGCTTGATGCGTGTAATCAGCTCCTATGCATTACTTTTATATTCCTGTTTGGAATACAAGAAGTTGCGGTTGAATCTATGTCTATGTTTAATATTTTTGCATTTATTATTAGATGCTTGAAAATACAGCCTATGTGAAAACTAATATATAGCCCGGTTTTATAAACCTTTAATATGTTGAAAAGTATATTTGTCGAAAATACACCCCATGTGAAAACTATCATATTTCCCGGTTTTATTAACCTGCAATATGTTGAAAAGTATATATATTGAAAATACACCCTATGTGAAAACTATCATATTTCCCGGTTTTATTAACCTGCAATATAATGAAAAGTATATATGTTGAACATACAGCCTATATGTGAAAACTAATATATTGCCTGGTTTTATTAACCTGTAAATACCGTGTATATATGTTGATAAATGGAGGGGAAGCTCTGCATTCTTTTTTAGCTTTATTAAATACCGCTCTTTAAAGAGAATGTCTGCGAAAATTTACATTTACATTTAATAAAATATAAAGTGCATATAATACACAGTACACAAGGATATATAACCTTTACACCGAGGATTTAAAACTTACATTTACATTTACATTTACATTTACATTTAATTAATATAAAGTACATATAATACATAGTACACACGGATAAATAACCTTACACCGAGGATTTACAATTTACATAATTAAAAGTACACATAATTCACAGTACACAGGGATATAACCTTTACACCGAGAATTTATAATTTACATTTACATTTACAATTAAGTAATACAAAGTAAATATTTTACACTGGGATATATAATTTACACAAAGGATTTACAATTTACATTTACGAGTAATATAAAGTAAGTATTTTACAAAAGGATATATCCTTTATGCAACGGATTAACAATTTACATTTGCAAGTAATTTAAAGTAAATATTTTACACAAGGATATAAGCTTTACACAGTGTGACGTGGATAGTACCGGGACCATCCTAATTGTACTGGTCTCTTATTCTACAAACAACCATCTTAATTAATTTACTTTATTTTGACGTGGATAGTACCTGGACCATACTAGTTTAATTTACTTTAGTTTGACGAGTATAGTACCTGGACCATCCTAGTTTCATTTACTTTAGTTTGACGTGGATAGTACCTGGACCATCCTAGTTTAATTTACTTTAGTTTGACGTGGATAGTACCTGGACCATCCTAGTTTGATTTACTTTAGTTTGACGTGGATAGTACCTGGACCATCCTAGTTTAATTTACTTTAGTATGAAGTGGATAGTACCTGGACCATCCTAGTTTAATTTATTTTAGTTTGACGTGGATAGTACCTGGACCGTCCTAGTTCAATTTACTTTAGTTTGACGTGGATAGTACATGGACCATCCTAGTTCAATTTACTTTAGTTTGACGTGTATAGTACCTGGACCATCCTAGTTTAATTTACTTTAGTATGAAGTGGATAGTACCTGGACCATCCTAGTTTAATTTATTGTAGTTTGGCGTGGATAGTACCTGGAGCATACTAGTTCAATTTACTTTAGCTTGACGTGTATAGTACCTGGACCATACTAGTTTAATTTACTTTAGTTTGACGTGGATAGTACCTGGACCATACTAGTTCAATTTACTTTAGTTTGACGTGGATAGTACCTTGACCATCCTAGCTGTACTGGTCTCTTATTCTACAATCAACCATCTTGGTTAATACTCAGTGGTACTTCTTCAACCTGATAAATTAAGAGATGATGAAGATAAAAACCCTGAACAGTCTATTTATGGCTGAGTCTTAGTAAACTTTGAGGAAAAAGTAAGATAAAGAAACTGAGTGTTTGCCATAAACTCCGATTTTCTAATTTCAATATCTTTATAACCTTCTAGCGAAAACATTTGATATTTCAAATTTAGGTTATCTGATCAAGAAGAATTCATAGTTTGAAATATCTAAGATATACGGCATTGGGTTGCAAAGATATAGAGATTAGAAAATCTTTCTCCTTTTTAAAGATTAGAAAGTACAAGTGTCAATTATAACCTATAGATTTTTCTTGCATTAACTTTTCAAAAATTGTAAAGTTAATTTTTATGCTAATCATGAAGTAATGCTTATTAAAGTCCTTGTAGGTTATATATAGGCATATATATCATTGTTTATAGGTTTATTTACTGTAAAGAGTGATTAAGTAAAAATATGCATTTCTGTATAATAGAGTTCATGCCAGAAACTATTATTTAATGGAGTCATTGCTTCAAGAGTTTATAGATGATTAGGGAGTTAGAGGTGGTAAAAAATAAATATATTCTACAAAATACAAAAATCTGAAAAAAGAAGGGATTTTATCAATTTTGAGTTCTAATTTTTATATTTATAAATAATAAATATAAACTTTTTTATTGGAAGTTTAAAACTTTAAAATTGTTTACATGGATTGTCAACATTGGTATGCATGAGTGACAAATTAAAGCTGGGAAGGTCTAATTCACATTGATACCATTTAAACCTTCTTGTAAGCAAAAATATATTAATTATATTCTTGTTTTTATAACTTTTTGTACAGGGATGGCGGATGTTGCTTGCAGATAAAGGTTTAAAGGGTATCGTTGTGAGTTGCGGCATGCACAGCTTAGAAAACGTTTTTTTTAATAAATAATATTTAAAAATTTTCAAAAATGTTTTTATATTTAAATTTTTAATAATTTTTCACCTTATTATATAGTTGAAGAGGGGACTCATAGCTTAGATGTTGTTAATTTTAAATTAAACTTTTTCCGTTATTCTACAGTCAACTTTCATTTTATCTGAAATAGACATCTTTATTTCAGGCCCGTAGCCAAGGGGGGGTGCAAGGGTGCAGGTGCACCCCCCCCCCTAGCCCCATAAAAAGAAATTGTTTTCATAAGTTCCTAAAATCTAGTTATAAATTATATAGCCCGAGTAAGAATCGATTTCCAAACCAAATTATAATCTATTTGTGCGTTACTCATTAAAAGTGGGACGGAATTTTTGTGTACTCTCTCAACTCATCCCCTGAGTCATGTATCTCCTGTGACCTATCGCAGGCTAACTAACAATTGATCAGCAAACTCTGTTGATTAAAAATAATACAACATCAAAATTTACTCATAGTCATTTAATAGTTGTTTAAGTCTAATTAAAACAGTATGATTTATTAATTATATGCATAGAGTCCCATGGAAATGAAATGGTAATCTCCTGTACACTTTATTACTTTTAGCCCCCCCTTGACCGGTATGCTATGTTTTATGAGTCTGTTTTTTTGAGGCATTTTCGTGGTGAGGCGCCCCCTTGACCCTTGAAAAGCGAAAAGCTTTTTTTAAAATGAATAAGAAATAAGATCATATCATTTTCATATTGCAAAGTCAAAGTAATAAATGATTACTTGACTACGTCAGTTAAGCAGTACTCCCTAAAAAGCTCAAATACACTTGTTAAAAAGGTTAGCCTTTATAGTGTGCATTGACAATGTAATAAAAAAAACCATATACCACTGTAAAACCAAATCAAACATTGTTTAAAAAATCATTAAAAAACCCCCCCGAATTTTTTTTTCACCTGCGACGCGTCATATTCCCCCCCCCCCTAGTCAAATCCTGGCTACGGGCCTGCTTTATTTAACTATTTTATGATAATTAACAGAACAAAAAAAAAGTTTAAAACAAGGGAAATTTAAACAGGATAGCATTTTTTTAAAATCTTACTTTAAAATCCACTTTTTACGTAATTTTAAGAATAAATGTTTCTATGTTCTAAATTTATAGATTGAATAAAAATAGTTTTTAAGCAATGGTCACACTTGTATGCCAATTCAGATCAGGCTTCAAGATCACGTGTTTGGTTTCTATTATGAACTAATTGAAATTGTATGCCGGTAACATTTATCTCTCTTTTTAAGAGATGAATACTTAAATCGGCGCTAAACAGTAAATAGAAGTAATTACTATACTGAAGCTATAGCAGTGTGGAGGTAATTACATTAAACTTATATAACTGACTTAAACTGTACAAAAACAGGGAGAAACTAAATTAACCGTATTCAAATATAAAGGTTGTACAAGAAATTAGCTCAACACACATTAAAAGAAAAAACTTTAATATGATCTTTTTTTCTACAGTAAAACCCTTAATAACGAATACATCGATTATATGGAACTCTTTAAAACTGCTCCCGCATATTCATGGCTATTTATTTATTTTCACAAATACTGAAATTTACGTGATATAGTATAAAGCTCATTGAAAAATTGTCAAGACGACATTTGATGAATTCTTCCGATGTATTCGTTATTAAGGGTTTCACTGTATAGTTGCAATGAAACTTTAAACAATGATTCAAACCATGTATAACCATGTATAATCATGTATAACCATATATAACCATATATAACCATGTATAACCATATATAACCATATATAACCATATATAACCATGTATAACCATATATAACCATATATAACCATGTATAACCATATATAACCATATATAACCATGTATAACCATGTATAACCATGTATAACCATGTACAACCATGTATAACCATATATAACCATGTATAACCATATATAACCATATATATAACCATGTATAACCATATATAACCATATATAACCAAATATAACCATGTATAACCATATATAACCATGTATAACCATATATAACCATATATATGACCATATATATAACCATGGGCAATTTATGTTTTATACATAGTTGTATTTTTGCACAAACGAAGGGTTGAGTCATATTGTCTGTTAAATTTTGTAATTTACTAGTGTAATTGTAAATAAACAATGAAATTACAATTCATCCTATACCATACCCTCTATAGTTTCAGTAGAAGTAAACATTTCCATTTACTGATAGCGCCGATTGAAGGATTCATAATTGGATACTGAGATTGATATAAAGATAGATGTTACCACCATACTATTTCTAATGGTTTAGAATAGACAACAAACACATGACTGAACCCTGATTGGATCAGGAGCTAATGAACTCAGCATACTAGAGTGATACCATATACTCGAGAAGACGGGGTTTAACTGATTGTTTATTTATAGTGCAGTAGGATTTTTGATCTAACACTAAAAGCTTTTTGATCAATGGATACTGCGGCTTTATATTTGATACAAGTACAAATATCTCTTGTTTTGGAACCAACTTTGAAATAATAATTCGAACCCATATTTCTTATTCAATAAAACTGTAAACAAATTAAACATTTAATTTTTCAAAATTTGTAAACCTCAAATCCCCCCCCCCTTTCAACTCTTTGCCTATTACAGTCGTCCTCGTACATATCAATACAATGATGATGACTTTCAATAAGTAGTCGTCTTCATTCTATTGATATAATCGCAAACCAATTTATGAAATTGGTTAGTGTTGGTTTGTACTAGGGTTTCTAAAATGAGTGCCAATATTTCAACTTGTTTCCCTGAAAGGGTTGTAAATAAAATTTCAATTAACCCGTCATTTGAAAAGCTAATTGTCCAATTTACAACGGTACCCTTTTTTTTCCTTTTTCTAAGGAAAGATTATGGGGATATCCATTTTTCCTATCTGAAACAGATTTCAAGTGATCGGTGGATTTATGGGCAGAGTTAGGGTAGGAAATCGACGAATTTATTCCTCTTGATAGAGAAGGCCATGCAAAATTACATTGACATGCCTACTTAACTCAATCAAAAACAAATGTGCATTGTTCCCACATTGCAGGGCTGATTATATATTTAATTCCAGGTTTTAACATTGAACAAGAAATGTCAGAACATTTTTGAAATCACATAAATTCGGATAAATGTTAAACCCTAGTTAGTACATAAGAGTTCTATTCCATAGTTGTAGGAAGTATAGTTGAATTTGCCTCATTTTCCTGCCTAGATTAATCAAACTTTTAATTAATAATACAGGCATAAATATATCAATACCAATACAAACATTAAACAATAATTTATAAATTCTCATAAATTCTCACATTGATAGAACTTTGTGAGCTGGGCCAAATTTATTTTAATGGTAATTTTCGTCTTAGAATTGGCTGGATTATATTTAATCCTGAGAGTGATACAAAGCTTAAAAATGATAATAATTGTAAAAAATAAATATTTTAAGTCAATTATTTAGAAGCTCATCAAGATAACGGTGAAATTAAATAAACACATTAAAATCCACTTTACATGATCTAATAAAATAATATGCAACGTCCAAAAGAGTTTTTGAATCCTGAAAAATACAAAAATAATTAAACCAGTAGTTGATGATTTATACAATTAGTATAATAAGTTTCGCAGATAATTCTAAACTTAACAGTCCATATTTTTACAGGTTAGAAATATACTATTCATTAAAAGAATTAAAGACATTGAAGACGTAACTTAAAGTGGCCCTCCATCTTTAAAGTGTCATGTGAAATTTAAATGTTTTGAACTTTTGCTTTTTCGTTGTTTGTTTCCTAGAATATCTCAGTTTTGTTCGTTTCATAGAATATCTCAGTTGTTCGTTTCCTAGAATATCTTAGTTGTTCGTTTCCTAGAATATCTCAGTTTTGTTTGTTTCCTAGAATATCTGAGTTGTTCGTTTCCTAGAATATCTCAGTTTTGTACGTTTCCTAGAATATCTCAGTTGTTCGTTTCTTAGAATATCTGAGTTGTATGTTTCCTAGAATATCTGAGTTGTTCGTTTCCTAGAATATCTGAGTTGTTCGTTTCCTAGAATATCTCAGTTGTTCGTTTCCTAGAATATCTCAGTTTTGTTTGTTTCCTAGAATATCTCAGTTGTTCGTTTCCTAGAAAATCTCAGTTTTGTTTGTTTCCTAGAATATCTCCGTTTTTTGTTTCCTAGAATATCTCCGTTTTGTTCGTTTCCTAGAATATCTCAGTTAGTTTCCTAGTATATCTCAGTTGTTTGGTTCCTAGAATATCTCAGTTTTGTTTGTTTCCTAGAATATCTTAGTTGTTTGTTACCTAGAATATCTCAGTTGTTTGTTTCCTAGAATATCTCAGTTGTTCGTTTCCTAGAATATCTCAGTTTTGTTTGTTTCCTAGAATATCTCAGTTGTGTGTTTCCTAGAATATCTCAGTTTTGTTTGTTTCCTAGAATATCTCAGTTGTTTGTTACCTAGAATATCTCAGTTGTTTGTTTCCTAGAATATCTTAGTTTTGTTTGTTTCCTAGAATATCTCAGTTTTGTTTGTTTCCTAGAATATCTCAGTTGTTTGTTTCCTAGAATATCTCCGTTTTTTGTTTCCTAGAATATCTCAGTTTTGTTTGTTTCCTAGAATATCTCAGTTGTTCGTTTCCTAAATTATCTCAGTTTTGTTTGTTTCCTAGAATATCTCAGTTGTTTGGTTCATAGAATATCTCAGTTTTGTTTGTTTCCTAGAATATCTCAGTTGTTTGTTTCCTAGAATATCTCAGTTGTTTGTTTCCTAGAATATCTCAGTTTTGTTCGTTTCCTAGAATATCTCAGTTTTGTTCGTTTCCTAGAATATATTAGTTTTGTTCGTTTCCTAGAATATCTCAGTAGTTTGTTTCCTAGAATATCTCATCTGAGATCAGTTTGTGTCAGACATTGATTAGTTTTGGTTAATTCAACGCAATGGATCTAAAGTCCTCAGAGACCTCAAACCATATCAAATTCAAATAAGTTAATAGGGTATTGATTAATAAAGTAATAAATAAGTAATAAATTGGGTGTCAAAGTTGGATGGCACCCGATTAGGCGACAAAACAATTTTTGAACATGAAGAGACAAATAATCGCTTATATTCCACA